AGTGGAGTATAGTCTAGGGCGAAATAATGGGAAAGAGAGAGAGAGAGAGAGAGAGAGAGAGAGAGAGAGAGAGAGAGAGAGAGAAGAGAGGAGGGAGGGAAGGGAGGGAGAGGGAGGAGGGAAGGAAGGAGGAGAGGGGGAGGAAGGAGGGAGAGGGGGAGGGAAGGGGAGAGGGGGAGGGAGGAGGGAGAGGGAGGGAAGGAGAGAGGGGAGGGAAGGGGGAGGGAGGGAAGGAGGGAGAGGAGGGAGGGAAGAGGGAGAGGGGGAGGGGGAGGGAGGAGGGAAAGAGAGAGGGGAGGAGAGAGAGAGAGAGAGAGAGAGAGAGAGAGAGAGAGAGAGAGAGAGAGAGAGAGAGAGAGAGAGAGAGAGAGAGAGAGAAGATAGATGAGGGAGGAGGAGGAGAAGGAGAATAGAAGAGACATGAGAAAGAGAGAGAGGCAAGGAGAAGAGAAAGAGGAGGTAGGGAGTTACAGAGAGAAGAAGAAGAAGAAGAAGAAGAAGAAGAAGAAGAAGAGAGAGAGAGAGAGAGAGAGAGAGAGAGAGAGAGAGAGAGAGAGAGAGAGAGAGAAGAGAGGAGAGAGGAGAGGAGAGAGAGAGAGAGAGAAGAGAGAAGAGAGAAGAAGAGAGAGAGAGAGAGAGAGAGAGAGAGAGAGAGAGAGAGAGAGAGAGAGAGAGAGAGAGAGAGAGAAGAGAGAGAGAGAGAGGAGAGGAGAGGAGAGAAGAGAGAGAGTGAGAATGAGAGTGTAGTAGAACAAGATAGGTGGATAGATTGATAGATAGATATAGAGAACAACAACAAAAATGAAATAATAAAGAGCGAGAGAAACAGAAAAAACAAAAAATAAGAAATACGAATAAGCAAAAATAGTATACCAAATATTAAAAAGAACATAAAAATATAAATGAAAGGAAACAGACAACAAAGAGAACTAAATTCGTCAAGACACAAAACATCAAAAAAAGAAAAAAAAAAAAAAAGAAATAAAGAAGGAAAAAAAGAGATAATATCCGAACAGAGTAACAGACTATCCACATTCACTCTTACCTCTCTATACTTATTTTTCTACTTTTTTTCAATGTCTCCCTTTTTTCAGACGCAGCCAGGCCGCAATTTTACTCGGAATTCAGGACAAGTCACGTATGAAGTTAACTGTATATATCAAAGAGGTAAATGGGTACGGTTACTCAAGATTACTATTAAAGGGAATATTACACACATACACATAAACATATATACAAATAACACAGTAACACACACACACACAAACTTATAAACACGCATACTTACAAACAAACATATTAACACGCACACACAAACGCATGAACACGTACACACAGAAATAAGCACATTAACACACATACAAACAGACAAACACATATACTCACACGGCCAAAACATACAAACACATAAACACACACACAGAAACACATAGAAACAGACAAACATAAACAGACACACGCACTCACACACACGCACAGAAACACACAAACAGACTAAAACATAAACTCACACGCACACATACAAACAGACAAACACACACACACAGAAACAAACACAAACAGGCACAAATTTATAAGTATTAAAGTTACTTAATTATCCAACGGAGACCGGGAGGAATTCTACCAAAAAAGTGATCTCAGTCAAGGATAAACAAAAAACAAAGAAGATTCGAATATATAATAAGGCGCTTTTAGTCCCACACCGGTACATTTTCTTTCGTATTTGATATTAGCAGTAGATAAAGAAAATGGGAATAAATAAATAATTAAACTAGGTCTTATGATAAAGGGAAACTATTAATTTAACATCACGTACGTTTAGAAAAGAAGATAGTTAAGCTAGTTCTATGAAATATAGTGTTTCATGAGCTGTGGCATTAATAAAGGTGATCTAACGTGATTATTAACAAAGAAAATGGAGAGCTATAAAATAAACGACCAAAGAAAACGGAAAGTTACAAAACATGCCTCTTTCAGGGTAGACTTCGGGGTCCAAATCTTTCCTCTAATATATTCAACCAGGTGATACTACAGCGTAGAAACCAAGGCATGGCAACGGGTGATGATCTAGATTTTTTTTTTCTTGATTTTTTGTAGTCGTAAAAAGTATATAAATCGGGTTGGCCCATGGTCAAGGTAAAGAATGGGTGGGTGTATGAAGATATCTTTTGTTTCGTGTGTAGGATAAGTATTATGAAAGAAACCTTTACTGACATTCAAGGAAAATGATCTTAAAAACAGTCAAGAACGAGCGATATAAACTAAAACTACGACGCAAACAAGAATAATAATAAAAAAATAAAAATCATATCGAAAGAATTATGCAGTTCATGATTCATCCTCCTGATGTAACAAAAGGACCCTTCGTCTTTTTTTTTTCTTTTTCCCAGGGGCATTTGTTAACGCAGGAAAGGCCCAGGACAGTTGGTCAGGCATTTGGAAACTTAAATTCCTAGTTGGCACCTCATCGTGACCGACAATATAACAAAGGTTTCCTCCG